CCTGAGCCCTAAATCGCCCCACCTGGAATGCGAATCAGCCACTTCATTTGGTTTTGCCCTAAATTTCGATCCCTACCAACTCTGAAAACGCGACCTGAAGCGTCACCACATTCCTCCACAACGTCAGGCGAGCCCTACATCAATCCCAATCCGAAATCGCCCCACCTGGAACGAACTTTTGCGGCCAATACAGACATGGAGGGAGATAATGGAGGTAAGTAGAAGGGAAGCATCTTGGTGTTTTGTCACTGTTTGAGGAGAATGCTGCCTGGCTGTTTAACTATTAATCTGTTGAAGAAGAAGGAAATTTTTTATTTGAATTATGGAAATGGGAATTGATGATTTCGATTTTGATTTCTGGAAGATTATTATCAGGATGGGGGGATTAGAATTCTTGTGTTATTCTTTGAGAGAAATTGTTGATTGATTATAGAATTCTTGTGTTCTGGAAGAGAAATGCAGTGCAGAAATGTAGATGGTTGGCTTTGGTTTTGATTGCTTGGCAATGCATTTTCAATAAGAAGGTTGTACCTGAAATTGCTGAAATGAGGAAGTTTTTTGGTAATGTAGATGTGAGGAATCAAAAAAAAGCTACAAAGATTTTCTGGAGATGAAGCCTAGGAATTTAGCAGATGTAGTTGAACTGGAGGTTCTCTTGTTCACCTTTTCCAGGCACATTTGGAGGATCTAGCAGAGAAAGAGGCCTTTTGAATTATCATTGTGAATTGTTATTGAGTAGGAGAAACAAGGATTCAATGTAAATGTGAATTGTGATTGTGAATTGGGTATACACCTTTTGACTAATGGGATATCAATGTTTACATTTTCTGTTTCTCTCTTGCTGTTTACAATTTCTGTTTCTTTCCCATTAAATAAGAAAGCATTAGCATTTCTCATCCACTGTAAAATGCATGAACTGGAACCAGGTATCCCNATCAATGTTTACATTTTCTGTTTCTTTCCCGCTGCTACAAATTTATGACTTCCCATTACATAAGAAAGCATTAGCGTTTCGAATCCACTGTAAAATGTATGAATTGGAACCATCACATTACCATCACATTTCTTTCCACCAAATTTACAATTGTCAACAAACTAGGCCACCAGCAAAAGCTGTTTAATAATTTCATTAATGCATTACAAAAATAGCCTTAATGCATAACAAAAACAACCTTGATGCATTACAAAAAAAGCCTAAATGCATATACAAAAATTGGCACTTAATGCATATCCAAGAGACTTGACATTACAAAAAACACGACCTCTTAATGACACCCTAAAAACATCAAAAACAGCCACAACATTCCCTTCAATCACGAATTGTCTGTCTATGTACGATGGGGGTTGGAATGAATTGCATCAGCTCTTCGTCATTTAGGTTTTGGGTCGATCCGTAATCTCTTAATGACACCATTTTACCCTGTAATCCAATAGATAAATGTAGTTGTAATAAATAGCAAATGTAGTTAAGTAACTAAAAAATGAATTTGATGTTTACTCACATGTTCGTTAACTGAAATTATGCTATTTGAAGCAATCGGTTCTAATTCAGCATCGTACCAATCCTAATATGGGGTACTATTGCTTGAGTGATATCTTTTATTGTGCCCCTTCAATTTACATATCGAGCACGTCATTTGCACTTGCCCTTTCTTCTTGATGTATGACTTTCCTTGATTGTGCTCTACAATTTCTTTCGCCTGTTTCCTTCTCTTTTTCTGTTTCTTTCCCCGTTGAGGCTGGATGACTGTAGGCGTAGTCTAATTATGCCCGACGTTGAAGAAGTCTGTGTACATGTCGTACACAGAAACGATGTTCTGCCTCTGTGAATAACTCCTCGTAGACATTTTGAAGACCCTTTTGTCTGTCAGTCATCAATATCCAACCCCTCCCGTTGTCCATTTCAATGTCCTCTTGAAGGTATTTCATGAACCATCTCCAAGTGTCTGTGTTCTCCTTCTCAACAATAGCATACGCCACAAAGTATATACAATCATTAGCATCCTGT